GTGGTGAGCAGGTTTGAGGATGAGGTTACTGGGTAGGGAGTGGGCACCTCAGGCTAGGAAGAGAAGGAGTGGCTGAAGAACTCAGAGAATAACCTTCTTCTAGCTAGAGCTTCTGGAATGTGGGCGTGCTCAGGTGCTGGAGCGAAGTGCCCGCTGCATCCAGTATAGCTGGAGGCGACACCAGCACCGAAAGCAAGAGCTGCAGAGGCAAGCTGCAACCCTCCTCCAGGCAGGTGAGTGGGTGGGACCTCCTGTCAGCTACTGCATACTCCATCCATTGCTGAAGCAGTGTCCCGCACCCCAGCAACATCTCTTATGGTGCCCAGGAACTCAATTCCCCATCCTCCTGGCCTTCAGGACATTCCACAAGTTAGTGCTGTGCAGGCTCAAAGTTGCCCTTCAGTTCTATTTCTTTAGACATAGGTAGGTACCTATGCCAACACCTTTTTCCCTTTAGGGCCTGGGAAGAGGCCAAAGCCACAGGAACTTATTCATGAATGAGCCAACATTTGCAAGAGTTTTATGTATGTGTTGGTAGTAGAGCTTGAACTCAAGGCCTTGCTCTGTCACTTGGCTTTTCACTGATAGCTGGCATTTGAACCACACTTTCAGGTCCTGCAGCAAGTAGTCTTTTCTTTTTCTTTTTTTTTTTTTGGGTCCCGTCATGGGGCCTGAACTCTGGGCCTGGATGCTGTCCCTCAGCTCTTCAGCTCAAGGCTAGCGCTCTACCACTTGAGCCACAGCGCCACTTCCGGCTTTTTTCTTTTTGCTTATGTGGTGCTGAGGAATCGAACCCAGGGCCTCTGGCATGCAAGGCAAGCGCTCTACCACTGAACCACCTTCCCAGCCCCCCAAGTAGTCTTTTTTTGAAAAACAAAAATATTAGAAACAAACTAAGACTAGGTGTCATAATCCCAGCACTCTGGAGGATCATAGGTTCAAGGCCAGCTGGGCTACACAGCAAGACTATCAAAAAATAAACCCCAACGACCTGTCAGTAGTGAGGTCATACCTAATTTGTAGATGTGTCCTTATGAATGCTTCTAAGTACTAGGAAGGTCTATTACCTGCTTAGTAGAAAACTGCTTCCAATGTGATGTTCAGACCTGAACTCAAACTTGTTTTATGAGCCTACCTTGTACAGTGTCAGTTTGTGGAAGCATGAAGAAAATTAAAATTCCCATACACAATAATTACTCTTATGAATATTTGGGCCTATCTGGTGATGTCATCTAGTGTACCCATAAAGTAAGCAAAGGAAAAGAATGTATTTTTTTTTTGGTGATTCTGGGCTTTGAGCTCAGAGCCTCACACTTGGTAGGCCGGCAGGTGTGGGCAGTGTTACAAGAGATTTTAATGCCAGGCGCTGGTGGCTCATGCATGTAATCCTAGCTACTCAGGAGGCTGAGATCTGAGGATCGCGGTTCAAAGCCAGCCTGGGCAGGAGAGACCGTGAGACTCCTATCTCCAATAAACCACCAGAAAACCGGAAGTGGCTCTGTGGCTCGAGTGGTAGAGCGCTAGCCTTGAGCTGAAGAGCTGAGGGACAACGCCAGGCCCAGAGTTCAAGCCCCACGACCAGCAAAAAAAAAAAAAAGATTTTAATGTTTATTTTAGAACTCTCCTAGTATCAAATGCTAGCCATCATGGGGGCAAGGGGGACCATTTATTTTACACTTCTACACCAACTCTGATGTAGCCATAGAACAGGTGACCTAGAGATCTAATGACCATTTTTTTTTCTTTTTTTTTTTTTGGTCGGTCGTGGGGCTTGAACTCTGGGCCTGGGCGCTGTCCCTAAGCTCTTCAGCTCAAGGCAAGTGCTCTACCACTTGAGCTACAGCGCCACTTCCGGTTTTCTGGTGGTTTATTGGAGATAGGAGTCTCACGGTCTCTTCTGCCCGGGCTGGCTTTGAACTGAGATCCTCAGATCTCAGCCTCCTGAGTAGCTAGGATTACAGGCATGAGCCACCAGCGCCTGGCTCTAATGACCATTTTTTAATATCTCTACTGTTTCTGGCAACCTCCTCAGCCGTCCGTTCCTGGTTAACTCGGAAACACATCCAGAGGCTGCACACAGCTGCCACAGTCATCAAGCATGCATGGCAGAAGTGGAGAGTGAGTATGACTCAAGTGGGGCAAGCAGTATGATTCTGCCAGGTAGCTCTGCCACTGCAGTGGGGGGGGGCCTCAGATACAGCACTTCCTGGTGGGCTGCAAAAGTAGAGTAGCATAAACAATGCCAAGCATACACTATCCTTGGAAAGGCACACTGGTAAAGGGTGAATCCTGCAGTGTGTCACTGGTGTCTGTCAGGTTGTTTTGTTTTGAAGCAGCACAGGCACAAGGAGCCAGTCTAGTTCAGGTCCGCTGGCTATTAACAGCCAGATGCCTTGAACTTACTATGTCAAGCTGACTTAGGAAAAATAGGCTTCCATTTTCCATTAAGAAGGCTACACAAAAGCCAGGCATGGTGATACACATCTACAGTCCCCACACTCAGAAGGCTTAGACGTTTTAAGGCCAGGGCTGGGAAGGTAGCTCAGTGGTAGAGCGCTTGCCTTGCATGCCTGAGGCCCTGGGTTTGATTCCTCAGCACCACATAAGCAAAAGCCGGAAGTGGCACTGTGGCTCAAGTGGTAGAGCGCTAGCCTTGAGCTGAAGAGCTGAGGGACAGCGCCCAGGCCCAGAGTTCAGGCCCC